CTCTGTAATTATCAGTTTTTCTAAAAGTTCATTGCTTCAAATATTGAACATAGCTTTTAATTAGATATCTTAGACCTCTGGCAGAGATCTTACGGCTCATACAACCCTAAAGAAGGACGTCCGCTAAATAAAAAAGATCCTTCTGAGGGACAATAGAAAAAAAAAGTAAAAGATTAGCGAGCTGTTTGAAGCGAACGGGAATTAACAATTCGAGTCATCTGCATGTTTCTCGGAATGATCCGTTCACCGATTCTTCTTTTGCCGTCGGTAACGCAGCAACCGCGACATCACGTATTGTTTATTAATTCGCAAAATTAAAAATTCATCCGCAGTTAATTTTAATTTAACGCAGTCTCGAAAATCTGATGCCGCAACTTTCCTTCCCCAACTTGGTAAATCCAATCAGAATCAAGTTTTTAATTGGCCCTCGCCCGGTTGCAAATTAAATTGTCCAGGCCCTTATCGCTAATTTATTGTTAGTTGAAAATCTCCGAGTTAATAAATATTTTATTCTTCGTTAAAAAGTTTTTATGCCGGGAGCGCTTCCTCTCAGTGACGATGAAGATGAAACTTCTGTATAAAGCAAGAATCTCTTTGCACGAGGAAGATCTATTTATAAGAAATAAGGGAGACCGAACAGAAAGAAGTTCGTTAAAAAGCTCGCTGCGAAACCTTCTCGGCGATCTGTACGACTAATCGAATAACGAGTCTTCCAATACACTTTCGTCGGTCGGAACATTTCTATTTGTAGGAGATCGAAATATCGGTGGTCGACTTTCTCATCGAGTATTTCAGAAACTGATCGGTGATGCATACTTACATACTTGCACGTACCGTCATCGAATCTCGGTTTCCAATTTGTATCTTTTAAAAGGAAACGCCCGATGAAAGCTTGCCTCATCACTACTCGTCCTACTTTTCTCCTAAGGAAAAAGGAGGGAACGAAGATACCTTTTGATCCAGTTCCGCGTTGCATCTCGCACGCCCACCCAAATTTATATTGTATAATCGAGAGGGAAAGAGAGCGGTAAGAGCGATTCACCGGTGCTGCTGGCGCGCACCGGTTATATCACCGCTGTTCTCAAAAGTGATAAGAGGCACGGACGATTTCTCATTGCCATAAGTTTATACATAAACTTATGCGAACGCGACGCGTTTTAAGTTGAAGGCGGTGGTCTCGTCTGCGCTCGAACGAGAGGAAGAGGACGGTGGATGGTGATAAATTATCATAACTCGTCTCCGTTCGCTACGCGCGTAACTTTCGTTTGAACCAGCTAAAGGGATCCACCTTGTCGTGAAAGTAAAAATGCATTTGGGTTAGCCCCGATGACCTTTCCCCGGGACTTACCAATTACGGGCCCGTTCTCGTCCCATTTATAAGTGTCGTTCCCGTAAAGGCAGTGTTCGAACAATACAATTTTCGGACGATCCTATTTTTCTTCTGTCGTCCTTGCTCTCGTCTAAATGGTATTGATGCATTGTACATTGTAATAAATCTCTATGGTCTTCTCGCCTCCGTTTACCCGCCTTTCAATTAAGCAATCATGCGGTGTAAAGGATGATCATCGTGCAGGTGCAGGATTCTCTTAATTATTCTCCCTTTTTCTCAAAGGACAGGCACGCGTTGCGTAACGTTATGTAACGAAACTTGCAAGCCGCGTACGACTTGCAAGTATTCCGACGCGTATACGTAGATACGTGTATTTCAAGAGCGTTCAATCTTTAAGGATTTGCAATTTCGAAACTGGGCGAGCTGCGAAACTCGCGACAGTTGTCGATCATAAATTTAATCTCCATCGTTTATGGGAAATTTTAAACATAAAAAGGAAAACACGGCAGCTTATATAAAATCATGTAAAGCGACGCGAACAATAAAATATAATAATCTATATCTTGAAACAAACCGAGCGTTCTCTCTTTCTTTGAAATTGATGAGAGTCTACGATCTATTCGAGGAAACTTTCTATCCGGGGAATACCGGCACTCTTCTGATCTTCTCTCGACCATAAAATTTGACCTGTCCCTTTTTTAACGCGGCGACGAAAAAGAAGGTTGTGTGCCACTTTCCAACCTTCGAACCCGCTCATCTTCCCACGGAATCGTCCTGAATCATCGCGAACTTGAAGAGAGATACGCGGCGTGCGTAATCTACGAGCATAATCTCTGCGGGCCTCGGATTATACAATACGTGGCGTAATTTCTCTTAACGCTGGCTCGGACGCGGACACGAAAACTGGACAATTTAAATGAATATCGTCCCCGAACCGTGAGAAGAGATAAGCTTTATCACCTCCATTATTACTCGAGTAACAATTAAAGTACTGTCGCTTACCAGCTATTCTTTTAATTCCATCGTCCAGCTAATTTCTATCTATTAAAGCGGCAACGATATCAGACAACATCGGTATTTAATCTACCGTGTATTCGCTGGGCAAAGAGTTATTTTCGTAACAAAGTATTATCCATCGAGACTTAATGAGAATTTATTACAGTCGTAATTTAGTAAAAAGCTTGTCGCGACTTATGTAAATGTAATTAGATAATTAAGTATAAGATTAACTATCTGTTCCAAGGTTAACAAGCAAGGCTAATGACTCGCTGACATGGTTAGTTTCATCACCGGCAGACTCGTCGGAATTTAGTAATCACCGGGTCTACGAACGTCATTGCAATTATTATATTTGCAATCGGGATACGCAATCGGAAATTAACATAAGTTCATCAGGTCGATTATTTTATCACGCGTTATTGGTTGTTAATTACCATGTATCAATATCGAGGAACGGTGAAAGTAATTTCACTTGTTACACGCGTTTAATAAGAGTGGAACAGGGAAAAGAGAGCGGAATGAATAAAGAAGACGGGGGCGAGATGTACGGGGCAAATTACAAAATTATTATTAAAAACGGGTTACGTGCGTCGGGACGCGGGTACACGGTTATTAATAAATAATCCCGCCGTCGCGTCGCGTGAACAATTATTTATGGCGAACGGTAATTAAAACGCCTCTGGCCGCTCTCGATTCTCTTTTATCCTTTCCCGCTTTCAGTCCATTCTGTTTTGTTCCTTCGATAGATTTCCATTTGTTACAAATAAAATAATTGAAACGCAATTTATTAATAGAATAAAAATATCATCGAAGGATTTTTTGAATTAACACAGGGGTCGATTATTCTATTTGCGAAAGAGGACCACGAAGGAAGGGGTTAACGTTCGATCGTATATTTTAAAGGAAAAGTGTGAAAGCATGTTCCAACAAGGAGAGACGTTGACAAAACGGAGACGATCCATCCAGTTTGTCTGGATCATCCGCAAAAATTCGGTGTCCTGTTCAACGCCCAAAGTAAAAGGGAGTACAGGAGGGGTGGTGGGGGATTTAAAATGAGGCGGAGGACCAGAAATACCCGAATCTGCTGATGGATATATAAAGGGATCCTGGACACAGGCTAACCAGCCAGTTCGCGGTGAGACACTTGTCGAAGAGGAACCGGAATTCTACCTGTTCCACTTGATCCAGATTCAAGATCTCGATAACGAGGGACGAGGAAGAAATTTAATTGGACTAAGCCATATCGAAATGATCCGATCGGTGAGTTCTTATCTTTTGGGAGTGCGAAGAACGAGAGTTTTACGTAATTGTACGATGCATCGGTTATGTAATGTTATCTAAATGGCCCGGACGTTCGACGACCATGTATGGTACGCCAAAGACATTCACACGTACCGCAGCTTTTCTAACCATGATTTTAATTCTGGAAAACTGGAAACCCGTCGCAATTCTCCTAATGTTACATTAGCTAAATCAGTGTTTCGATTGCAGACAATCATAATTCTATCTGGCCTGCTGTCGTGCAGCCTCGCCCTGCCTCCGGGCATCTACGCCCCCATAGCGGCAGGTCCTATACCGACCACCCCTATTCCCATTCTCAGACAAAGCGCTGAAGGTCCCAACCCGGATGGAAGTTACAGTTTCAGTTATGAAACGGCCAACGGAATACAGGCGCAAGAAATCGGATACTTGAAGTACGCCGGGACTCAAGCGGAGGCCAACGAGGCCCAAGGTAGTTACAGCTACACGGCGCCCAACGGAGAGCTCGTACAGGTGACCTACGTGGCGAACGAGAATGGCTTTCAACCGCAGGGAAGCCATATTCCACCCATACCGCCACAGATTCTGAAGGCTTTGGAGTACATCGCCCAGCATCCGGAGGAGAATAACATTGGCAGGCAGTGACGAAAATAAGCTAGTTATATACTGAACGAGCAAACCATTGATTAAAAGATTTATCTATCATGTACATAAATATATTCCAATAAAATGAAACTTTTATAAATTTAAAAACCAGATGCATTTTTCTCTACTTTACCTTAATACAATTTTTACCCACGTACACAATGCAACGATGAACTCATCAAATATGATTTTGTCAACTGATAATCCTGGTCCATATTAATTCTGGCCGCTTGTTCGTTAAGTATGATGTACTTTTTGTGTGAAAGTGTGAGAGGAACAAACAAGGAATCGAGGGGAACAATTTTAATAAAGGTACGTACACTATTTTTATTCGTGAGATCGTTTTATTCTTTACTAATCGCTTAATTTTCATTTACTTTGTTTAACGATCCAAGTGTAGAAAAAACTAGAGTATAAATTGTTAAGAACTCAAACTAAGTACGTTACAAACTACTAAGACCTTTACTTTAATCCTTATGCCAGACAGAATTGATAGGACGGTTTTCCGATATTTCGATAGATCATTATTACGATGTTCGATAAATTTAATAATAATTACATAATTAAGAAAAATTGTCTTAAACAAATATCACAAAATTTCAATTAGATACATCTTGTTCGATCGATCGGCGTTAAATTGCATCGTGTTTAGTAAATCTGGCGCAAGGATGAACGTTCTTGTAAAAAACGGATTCGAGATTGGAGTATCAGTTCCTCTGTCTTGGCTTCAGTTGTCTGTGGGTGCTGGCGGCTGGGATCGCGTTCTGTTGCCTCGGCAGTTCGTCTCTCTTCTCTTCCTCGGGTTCGGGGGTGGAGGGTTGCTTGGCGATCCAGTCCAGGGCCCTCTGGATCGCCGGCGGGATCGGCGGTGGCGTGGGTATGTGAGTGCCGGCCACTTGAGCTCCGAACTCGTCCGCCGTCCAACTAATGGCGATCGGAGTGCCGTCCGGAGCGTTGTACTGAACGGAACCTTGAATCAATTGAGTCTCCGACGGAGTGCCGGCGTACTTTCTACTTCCGGTTTCCCGTTGAACTATTCCACCCTCCGTTTCATACGTGAACGAGTAATGGCCGCGGTTATCGCCCAAATTTCGAGCCTCGCTCACGATCTTCTCCGGCTGGCGAAAGTATTCCTGACAATTAGCGATCGCTACCACTGCGAGGAGTACCTGCGAGTTCGAAAAAAATACGAGATTCAGGATTAAGAAGAATCTGCATTTTAATTAAACGACTCACGCCGAACGAGATCCAGCATGCGTAATTTATGGCTTATCGTTGTATACAAATTGGACTAAATATTATACGCGACTCTTGCATCAAACGACTGTTCTGGCCCTGACTGTAAAAGTCGATAAATCACCAGGCTTATGGCCGTAAATCCACCTTTCCCCGTGAAAGGTCAGAGCAAGACGAATGTGTAGGTAGTTGGGTCGCCACGATCATTATAATGGCAGCGAACGGTAAAAGAGTCGATCGCTTGACTCTCTCGTCGTCGAACATTTATACAAACAAACAACTTCGTCGCGCTTTCGATGGTCTTTGACAATTTGTTCTTTTAGTAATAATTCTGTTCTACCACTTAATTAAGAAACGGCAGGTACCATTAAAAAGTCATTATGTAATAGAACAATTCAAGTACTTTCTAGAATTAGCTGTGCAGCAATGAAATAATAAAAATGAAAATACACAACGAACATTTTAAAAAATTTTGCTGTCGTAATAAATCTCGATCGAAGATGATACTAAAATATTGCAGAACGATGCAGCACCGTGAAATGACGAAACGAGCAAGTCGAATAGATGAATGAAAGTGAAAATCGACTGGTAACCGACTGTGACGCAATTTCGAAGAAGATGAGGATAAAAAGAAGGAGGACGACTTACCAGGTAACGCATATTGTCGAAACGTTCGAGTAACACGTGGTCGTCGAGAAAGTTGGCAGAAGAAAACAGAAGAATGAGACACGAGGCTGCGTCAGTGGGTATCAGACGAAGATGAGGAAGATCGACATGTAGATCCCTGGATCGTCTCTTGCGTGAAGTTCCCGAGCAACTCTTGAATCGTTGGGGGCACCGGCGACCTTTATACCGTCGCGCGGGGCCCAGTCCGAGTGCCTTTACATAACCCAACCCGAGAAAGTTTACAATATTTCGGGACCGGTAGCTTCCACTGTCTCTGCCTTCGGAATAATTTTCAACCCTTCGCCTGGTTTTTCGAACTCTGCCTATATTTTTGCCCCGATTTACGCAGGGGAACAAAAACGGTCACCTGTCCGAGCGACAGATCGAACACCGTCGAACAGTAATTGCACTCGCAATTCCGTGGGAATTGAACTGTACGTAATCGAAGTCCTTGACACGATGAACCTAACGCTCACGTACAGACACTTACATCTATCTAATCTACGCTGTTAGACGAGGTTTGACCAAGACGTGAAGGGAAAGGAAGCTGTCCCTTCTCGCAGGAAAAAGCGAGGATTACGTATACACAATTTCTGTCATTCAATATTTACAATGTACTTCTGGCGTCGAATTCTGTTTTAATAATCCTTTTACTACGCGTGGGTTTCGTCTGACTGATTTGCTTAACACAGTCGCAGCGATCCTCGATTCGTCCTCATTGCAAATTAACCAGTCGCATTATTTGCAGAAGGATCTTTCAACAATGTTAAATTTATATCACGCGGCAGTGACGATAATTATTATTATGTAATTTTCCTATCTGTTCGGGAATAATCGTTGATTTAAAAGGATGTAAATGTACCTATCTAATTCAATAACTTAAACACGAGGTTAATAACATCTTACTTTCTAAGTTGCAGTGCAACTCTTCTCAACTTTGCTGTTAGAACGTTGTGAAACGCGAATAGGTATAAGCTCGACTAAAATTCTTATGCAACCTCTCTAAACTTATAATTAGATAACGTTGAATTTATATATACATTTATGGGATGAGATCTTGTTACTGATGAATTAAATCGACTGATTTGACTTTTAATATCAATTCTCCATACTTATACTCAATTTACATGAGATTGCTAGCATTGAGATTGGTCTGACTTCGACTCCGCTCGTCCCACTGATGCATGGCCCGACTCCGCAGTAGATTGGGTTGTCTGCACTCAGGCAGCGGCTGTAAGCTCTGTGATTGATACCTTGCAACCAGATAATAAAAGTTCTAGTATCTAAAATAATAATCGATATTATTTCTATCCTTTTTGTTTCTTTATATAATATTATTAGTTTTTATTTCTCAGAAGATAATCTTCTTCTTTTACCACCTCTACGCGTATGTATTTGATTAAATGTTTTAAGATTACGAGAATTTGCCCGAATACTAAAATCGTAGCAACGATTCCTCTAAAAAGTTATCAAGTTATCAAACAACTACCATCGATAATCTCACTTCGGTTACGTTGTCGGAAAACGATTTTCCTTAAAAAACGTCGAGCCTCGGAAGATCGCGCCAACTAAAGATAAAGATCGATGCTGATCGGTCCACCTCACCGGGGATCTATGGATCCCGACGGTAGTAGGGGGATCGACTGGATCCGAAACCGCACGAGCAATTCCGAGCGTTAACAAGCGCCAGGTCGGATCCGAAGTCCCAAGAAACTCCGAGGTGGGAATCGTTTGGATCGTTTAATCAGTAGTAAGCGCGATGTCCACGAGAAGGCACTGTTTATTAACAATTCTTCGCGATCTCGCCAGTTTTTAACAAATAAACAGAGAACCGTACGTTGCGGTTTCTTAAAATTTATTAAAAGACAAGGACGGAGTGCGTCGAACGATTTTCTCGGTGATACGAATATAAAAAGATAGTCGATGAGTCAAATGTAAAGCAGGAGTGCGTATACGATTATGGTAGCGAGCGATAGTGAGCGTACCGAGGCTGGTGACGCATTTCGCTGACAGAGAACGACGTCGCGAGTTTGTGTCACTGTCCACAGTACGATTAGTGGGTGCTGCTCAGTATCATTTTTTCTGGAATTGCACAAGATGTCATGATCGACTGAACTCCATCGGACATAATTTCGTGGAAAATGTAGAGAGATCTTAATTGTTCTCCGAGAATTAGATCTACGGTGTCTCTCGTATGGCGAATTAGCGTGCTCCAATCCTCGCGATTCTTCCTCACCGGTAGTTCTTTTTTGTTTCTCTTCATTCTCTGTGCTTTTAACAATTGTTAGTACGGGACGTGACAGTTCCACGTGGGCAGTTATCAGCGAGTTCCAGCGAGCCGATATGAACGGGCGTGCGTCGATGAGAAACTGTGGAGTCGGAGGAATGCGATCGACCCGGCCGAATCCCTCACCGATCTGACAGGTGCGTAACTCTGTTCGATAACACGTTATTCTCTCCTTCCTACAAATACATTTTTTGTATTCTCTCCGGTGCAGACGGGCTTTGTATTAAATCAGAGAAACGGATAGATATCGATGAAAAGACCCGCAAATATCGCGAACGTTACTTTTTTATAACAAAAACCAATAGATATCTTTTGCTTTTACGACCGTGATTATTCGATATTTTTTACGTTCGATGCTTCGTGATGAGCACGCGTGTAGATTGGTAAAGTTCAAGTTCATGAAACAGCCAATAACACTTTAACGAAATAACGTAAAACCTGATAGAGCCAGCGTATGAGCAAACCAATGTGTAATGACAATTTTAATTACCCCGCTATAGTAGTTAAAAACGTTTATGTACCGCGATAAATTCTCCAATTATCGTAAACAAGCAGTAATTGATAATTTATTAAAAAATTCCTAAGTAAATATGTCATTAAAAGTTAGTATATAAAAGCATCGTGGATTCGCGTCTGAACATCAGAAGACAGCAAGAATTATCAAGGCAAATAGCTACGTCGATTAAATAAAAAGTCCAAATTCATTTGAACGATTGGCAGTCTCGTTTAACGTCGAGTCAACATTTTTCACGCACAGGTATTTATAGACGAAAAACTTGCAACTAAAAATAAAATCGAATCGAATCTCTGCTAAATGAAGCGAGTATTTGCTAACGTAGCCGGCCACACGTTTCCTTACGATTGCGAGAAATTGCCGGAAGTTCGTGCGAGCATTCTCCATGAATTCCTCTCTTTCTCTCTCTCTCTCTCTCTCTCTCTTTTTCTCTCTTTGTATCCGTCTCACTTTTCTATTGCTTCCGTTTGTCTCGTATCCACCTCGTTTTTGACCGTCCATCTCTTTCCACATGACGACCTCTTCTTTTTCCTCTCTCGCGTCTCTTTCCAACTCCGGTTCTTCTTTTTATCTTTTTACATTCCTTCCTCTCTTCTCCGTCACGATTGCTCATTTACTTTCCGTTCCTCCTTCGCCCGATTTCTGTTTCCTTTTTACCTGAGCCTCTCTTCGTCATTTTCTCTGTCCTCCTTCGTTCTCAGACTCTCCCTCTCTGTTTCAGATCGCTATGCCATTATGAATGCCACGGAAGGCAACGTTAGCGTTAACAACGACAGTGGGAACGGTCATAAGACTCACGGTGGCGGCGGCGGCGGCGGCGGCGGTGGCGCGGTTCGTCTTCAAAACGTGATCGGCAAGCAAACGGCCAGCAGCGGCTGCGTGCGCAAAATGAGCACCATGCCCGAGGAGGAGGATACCTCGGACGACGTGGATGCTGACACGAGGAGCAGAACGCAGCGGCAACGGATGATCCATCAGGATGCCGACTCTGATTCCCAATCGGAAGAAAGAGGCCGTCTATTGAGCAGCGGCGACGCAAGAAAGATCGGCATCGCCGGTACGCTCGCTAACTCACACCGACACGGTCATTTATTTTGTTAATCGAAAATTAAAACGAATCGAAAGGTAAAAGGATACCGCGGCACGACAGCACAGGAAGCATCCACTCGCGGCTGCAGCCGTCGAAATCCGGCGAGCAGATCCTCCTGTCCGACGGTCGCATCCTGAGGGAAGTCCGAGACGTTCCGCAGAACGTCCGATCCTCGCGGCCGTCGCATCGTTGCTCCAGCGTCAGATCGGTCAAGTCCAACCCGACCATGGATGAGCATCATCATCATCTCGGCCACTATCAACATCCGTCGGCTGCTAGGTGGGCCTCGATCGTGTTCTCCGACGCGAACGGCCAGACTCAGGTGCGTCCGTTCCCGGATTCCGTCTCGATCAGGTCGTTGGCGTCTATCGGGATGGGATCGTCCGATGGGAGGAAGCTTACGATAAGACGGGTTCCTACGTCGCCCTCGGAATTACTTAACATGGTCCATCCGCCTCCGTAAGTGACGCATCTCGTTTCTGTATTACGTAACAGTCATCTCCATCGCGCGGATGTTTGTATATCGTTTGACGTTACTACCTTTACGCGTGAAAACATAAATCATCGCCCCGCGCGCATATGTACAAAAAGCACTTATAGGAGAAAGCGAGACTCGATCGACGACGTCGCACGGATAACGTCTCTGATATATCTTCGAAAGGCTTAAAAGTATTTAAAGCGATGTTAGATAAACTCGTTATCGAGGTGCGCCAATTCGCATCTGTCTGTTAACGATCAAATCAAACAGCAGATATCGTTTTCAAAGCCGCGTTTAGATCCACAAAACTGGAATTCGCGATGCACTCCGGTTCATTCGTGCGGCAAGACTTTAAGAATACGCGTAGGTGATAAGAGGATCTCGTATCAGCTCGTATCGCCTCGTTGAGCCGGTTTTTTACCAATCGGATATGTAGGCGCTAGAAAGATACCTACCTAGACACGATCAAACAAATCGCGTCGTAGTGCATTTCGCGGTTCCCGCAGTGAAATTGTTCCAGCTGGTTTATCGAATTTGATTTTTGGAAGGATGCCGAGCGCACGTACCACCGAACTGATCATCGCGAAGCGTGGTCTCGTGATCCACGTACCGCAATTCGAGCGTATTGTCCCCGAGACGTAAGTGGATAACGAGTGTACCGTACGTAAGACCGCGTTTTGTTACCACCAGGGTTTAAAAGACCCGGTAATCGTTGCCCCACATACGCAAATTTTCATTATGTCGCGCATCGTACGATTAATATTGTTGTCTTCTCTCAATATTAATTCAATCTAGAAACGTTGATAAAAATAGAGTACCGGAGATAAATTGAATCAAAGATAAGTAGGTGTAATTGGTACTGCGATAAGCATGGTTTGCAAATCGTAAATCGATCGATTTGTCACTCGCAATCTTCCCACAAACACTGCTATTAACAGTGACGACACGGTAAGCCAAATACGTACAAATTCTTTCACGTATGATTTACTCTCGGTCAAAGTTTATCGTACGCGAAATCGTGATCCCCTCCGGAACAGATCATTTCGCACCTTTTAATCAAGATCCTTATTGCATAACGCGTACATATACGGTGCGTATTTTAAGAATCGCACGAGACGTAACAACTTCATCACGGGATTTTTATTAGCCCCTAATTAGCCACTCGTCGACGTTACGCAAATTGTTAAATTAATCGCCTTTGCCGTCGGTTTCATATGCATTTTTTAAATAAATCACGTCTACGCTTTTTTGCCCACCGACACAAAAGCGGTAATGGACGCGCGCGTATGTATCGCGTAATGGAAGATGGAACTCGCGTTTCCATTTGAAATTTAATAATGAAGTATGCATGCACAGAGTTGCATATACGCATACGTAATAACTAATTGTTATTGCACTCGTCGCAACTCGTTATTTACGCATTGTTTTCGCGTTGCGAAACCGGACGGCCAGGCTCCGAGAAGAATTTGCACAGGTGCATCGTATTTATTTATTATCGAGCCCTGTCGATTGCCATAACTCTCGCTGACTGACATAGTTTCCCCGCGGACACCCTGACGGATAGCCGTCTGCCATCTGCCATCTGCCACCTACCTTGACAGATAGCGCTCACGCTCTGCGCGTTAATGTATCCTCGGACTGATAAGATAAATTTTAAAAAAGAAATCGTGCCGATTCTACTTTTTCAATATAGAATGTATATAGGGCGTCCGATGATTAATTGGTCGATTCTAGATCGTTGGAAGACGATCTGTCGGTGTGCACCAGCTTCGATGACGCGGACGCCGAGGATCCAGGAGATTACAGGCAACCGAGACGGCCTCACTGGGCCAACAAAGTACAATTTGTACTCGCCTGCATAAGCTACTCCGTCGGCCTAGGGAACGTTTGGAGATTCCCATATCTATGCTACAAAAGCGGCGGTGGTGAGCACTTTCTTAATTATGCAAACCGCATCACCGATCCTTCGTATCGAACGAAATCATGTCACCGGCTAGCTTTTGTCTGTCGTCGAATAGCGGGAACGGTTAATCAGGAATGGTACTTGACCGATTATTTCGACCGGTGTCATTGAAATCATTTTGCCCCAGTAAGTACATAGGTACGTGGAGTACACGTACACACGTTCCTACTAGAGAAGGTCATGTATCAAGTTCCGCGATTACGCCACGCATCCGGACCAAGTGCATGCTAAGTACTCGCGCGTTCAGAAATGAGACGAGGCCCCGCTGCTTTCAGACTTTAAAAATTGCCCGGAACGAGATACCCGGTCAGGTTACGGCTTTACGAGCCGGAAGAAGGCCCGTCCTTGTTCCATATGCCATTAAATCTCTCGCTATAAATAGAGATTAGTTTTAAACATTTTTACCGAAATTTCTTACTCTTCATTTAAAAGTTTATCAATCGCTAGTAGAATTTGTATTTACAATTAAGTATTCTACGAAGAATGAGTGGAGCAGAGTTTTGTAACAATCTGCTGGAAAACAGCTGAGAATACCAATTAACTGTGAGAAGATGCATAAACTCTTATCACCGACATACTAACGAATGAATGCGTGTCGCAACCGCGATCCAGGGCGTTCATATTTACTCCGAACTATCCGCTGTGGAAATGCAATTGCGAAACCTTCGCGAGCATCGTTTGACTGATTCGTCTTGGGCCGCCAACGAAGGCGATCGTTCCCGAATTAACTAAGCCGCGATCATCCTTTATTACGAATGAACAGCCACATCCAGCGACCTTGTTACTCTGCCCACGGTACATAGTAATGACGATTTAATAATGACCGCGAGTACCGTCACACGTACACGTGTACGTACATACGCTTACGTACACTCTCGCCCGCGTTACGAGTGTTTAATGCCAGTTTAAAGCTTTGATAAATCCACGTTGCGACTAGAATTACAATCGGGGCTACTGATTTAACGACGCCGGGAGAATCCCATTGTTGTATCGCGTGTTTTATCTCGCATCAGGCCTCATCCAATACAATTAGAGTCTTATTAGAGTTTCGGTTGAAACAGTTCCTTGCGATTAATCCATGCATTTTAATTAATCCGTTTCAGGTGTCTTCTTGATACCATACTTCTTGATATTAGTGGTATGCGGGGTACCGTTACTGTACATGGAACTCAGTATAGGTCAATTTACGAGAAGGGGACCTATCGGTGCTCTCGGGCAAATTTGTCCCTTGTTCAAGGGTAAGTTTATCTTATAGGATCTTCATAGAAACGATCGAAATATTTTTCTCTTCATAGGAGCCGGTCTGTCATCGGTAGTGATTTCCTTTCTAATGTCGACTTACCACAATGTGATTATCGCCTACGCGATATATTACTTCTTCGCCGCGTTTCGAGCCAGACAACCGTGGTCGGACTGCAACAACTCGTGGAACACCGTAGCCTGTTGGCTGCCAACTTATAGCGGGATCGAAAACAGAACCAGGCCCAACGCTTCGAGAACGCCATCCGAAGAATTTTTCGAGTAATTATCTTTTAAACACGAATTTAATCATATCCGAGTTATCGTTTCTCTATAGTTGTTCTCATTGTTCAATTCAGCAACAAAGTACTGCAGATCAGCAAAGGGATTGAGGAATCCGGAGCCCTCAGATGGGAACTGGCCGCCTGTTTGATCACAGCTTGGATTCTGGTTTACTTCTCGGTATGGAAGTCCATAAAATCATCGGCCCAAGTCAGATACCTGACTGCCACGCTTCCCTTTTTGTTGATCGTCGTGTTCCTGGCGCGGTCCCTCACTTTGGAGGGCGCGGAGAAGGGATTGAGGTTCTTTTTCCACCCCCGTTGGGAATTGTTAGGCGACGCCAAGGTGAGACACTATTTTCGTGCAATTTAAATAAACCTTCTTATTTGAATCGTCGTTGGGGCAGGTTTGGATAAACGCGGCCGCACAGATATTCAATTCCGTGGGCATAGCGTTCGGCTCGATGATCTGTTTCGCGAGTTACAACAAGTTCCACAACACCATCTTGGTAGACAGCGTGGCCGTCTCGTTGATAAATGCGTTCAGTAGTTTACTGGTAGGGATATTCTCGTTCGCTACCATCGGAAACATCGCTCTCGAGCAGAACATGTCGGTGGAAGCCGTGTTGACAGATGGTGAGTAACATCTAGCTGAAGCCTCCTTTCAACCTACTATGCACCACCAATTTTAATCGCCATTGTTGCAGTATAAAATAATTGATGTACGTAATAGAATCTAGTAAACGTAGTATAAAATTATCGCAGAACAGACGCGGTAGGTCTGTATCTGTAGAATAAAATAATTGAAGGATGTAAAACGATCGATTAAAGTATCCTCCTGCAATTTTATTATAGATAAAAATCTAAAATTTCCGTTAAAGGACCGGGCCTGGTATTCGTGGTATACCCACAAGCCTTAGCCAAGATGCCAGCCTCCCAAATTTGGGCCGTGTTATTCTTTTTCATGTTCGTCTGCCTCTCTTTGAACAGTCAGGTACGTACATCGTATCATTTCTATAATACGCGAACAATTGCATGCAAATTTAAGGATGTACTGGCTATACAGTCAATACCAAAAGTTTATGCACTTTAGAAATGCATTTTTTAAAAAGAAATCAGACGTCGGAAGAACATTGCTAACAATAAGCAACAAAAAAAAATTTTCGATTTTCCCGAGATTTTTCCAAGGGGTACCCCTTCAATTTCTTCCAAATTTTCGTTTTTTGCCAATAACTTCCAAACCGTTGAATCTACGGGAAAATTCCATCAGACCTTTCTTGTAGAGGACGACGAGATCTACAATTTCTGTATAAAATTTTCTTGGTAGCGTCAATAATTAACGAGTAATTTGCAAAAAACTGTTTTTTCGTTTTTCGTCCATAACTCTTTAAATATTAACGCTAGCGTAAAACTGTTATACAGAAATTGTAGATCTCGTCGTCCTCTACAAAAAAGGTCGTATGCAATTTTCCCGTATCTCGAACGGTTTAGGAG